CGCAGCGAAGATTCGCTATGCTGTTTCGCTGCTGAGGGGCCCCGCCATGGACTGGTGGCGAGTCATCGTGACGTCGCCACGCGCCTACGAGCCACCGTCGCACGAAAACGGGCCCACGGGCCCAGCCGACACCTGGAGTTCATTCTGCGAGACAGCCCAATACAGCACGTGGGATGCGTGGTGCGCAGGGCTTCGGGCGCGTTTCGAGCCGATCGCGGCTTCGATTTCGGCGCGTCAGAAGCTGCGCACTTGGCGGCAGCTCGGGTCGGTTCAAGATTACACTAGCGGCTTTCTCGCACTGTGCGAACAAGTCGGCTATATGCACGAAGCGGAGCGGGTGGACCGTTGCGTCGGAGGGCTAAAGCCGGACATATCGCACGAAATTATGCTACGCGGGCTCTCGAATCTCAACGAGATCCTCGCGCTCGCCGAGAAAATCGACATCCTACGGCGACCGAGACCGGGGTCCTACTACGGACAACATCCTCGGGGGCCGACCGAGCACGCCACCGTACACGCCGTTGCGACGAATGCAGCTGCCGCACCGTTTAAGGGGCGCTGCTTTGCTTGCAATAGGCCGGGCCATCGCAAAAGTAAATGTTCAGAGGAGCTAAGGCGCCGTGGAACAGAGCAGGGGCGAGAGTCTCAGAGGCCGGGAAACGCCAGCAGTCAGTAGAAGTTGGGCCAACTACTGACGAGACTGCCTGCTCGCCCAACTTCACCGACCCTCACCGAGTCACAGTACCGATTCACGCTATCGATCGGGCTCGGACGAATAAGGAGGGTACAGCGACTGATTGCCCAGTACTGATTCACGGGAAAATACAGGGAGCAGCAGTGAAGATTTTTATAGACGGAGGTGCAAGTCACAGCTTAGTTAATACCGCGACTGCGAGGAAGCTGCAACTGACACTTAGTCGGTCCTTGCCAGAGATCGATGCACGCTTAGTTGACGGAACGCCGCTGGCCATACCGGAGAAAGTGGAAAGAGTAAAAGTCCGCTGTGGGGGGAATTTCGGGTTTACACAGGAACTGCTTGCGACGACATTGGATGGGCACGACATTTTACTGGGACGTGATTGGCTGCGACGATACAACCCGCGAATCGACTGGACGACAGGCAGCTGCACTGTGCGAAGTAGTGGTAACTGGGTGGAGCTACCTCGCTGGCAGTCGCCTGAGTCTTCAACGGTCCACGTCAACGCCATCACGATGAAACGGGCTGTCGCCGCTGGAGCTGACGTGTACGCAGTGGATATCGCGATAGTGGAAGAAGCAGACAAGACGAGTGATTTTCAGAAACTACTAGCGGCAGTACCATCGGAACTACAGGAACTGTTGAAACGATGCCCGGGAATCTTCCCTGACGACTTACCCGAAGGACTGCCACCTCAGCGGGCGCACGATCACCGAATAGAATTAGAGCCCGGGGCACAGCCAACCGTACAGCGACAGTTCAGACTGACACAGCCCGAGCTCGACAAGCTAAGGAAGCAGTTAGATTACATGTTAGAGAAAAAAATCATCCGATCAAGCTCATCGCCATTCGCCGCACCGATACTGTTCACACCGAAAAAGGACGGCGGGTTTCGCATGTGTATCGACTACCGAGCACTGAACAGGGTTACAGTTAAATCGCGATACCCCATCCCCCGAGCTGACGAACTGATAGATCAACTGCGAACAGCACGAGTCTTTTCGAAAATTGACTTACGGGGAGGTTACCACCAGATTAGGGTCGAACCGTCAGACTGCGCCAAAACAGCTTTTAGAACTAGGTACGGGTCGTTCGAATACACGGTAATGCCTTTCAGACTGACCAACGCACCGGCGACTTTTCAGATGACGATGAACGAGGCGTTTAGGCCACTCTTAGATAAATGCGTTATCATCTACCTCGACGACATCCTAGTCTACAGTCGGGATAAGCAGCAGCACTTAGAAGACTTAGAAGCAGTGTTTACAGTTCTAGACAAACACAGACTACTGACAAAGGGTTCCAAGTGCGAGTTTTTTCAGGACAGGCTATAGTTTTTGGGGCACGTTATTTTGGAGGCTGGAGTAGAAATCGACCCGAAGAAACTGGACAAGGTAAAAGCATGACACCCCCCGACGAACATCACGGAACTGCAGAGTTTTTTGGGTTTTGTTAATTACGTATGCCGGTTCGTCCCCGACATGGCACGCTTAACGGCCCCGCTTACGGATTTGCTGAGGAAGGGGGTCGCTTTTACGTGGGGGGAGAAAGAGCATGCTGCCTTCTCCACCCTAAAAAATGTTCTCTGTTCACCACCGGTACTGCGCATCGCTGACCCACACCGCCCATTCGAAGTGGTTACTGATGCAAGCGACATCGCCATCGGAGCCGTACTGCTCCAAGACTTCGGCAACGGGTTACAGCCCATCGCCTACGAATCACGAAAGTTGCATCCACCCGAGAAGAATTATCCGATACATGATCGCGAAATGCTTGCGATCGTGCATGCATTCAAAGTGTGGCGCTGTTACTTGACCGGCGCCGACGTGACAGTACGAACAGATCACAAATCACTACAGTACCTCCGCGCACAACCCCACCTCAACCCACGACAGATCCGCTGGCTCGACTTCCTCGAGTCGAATTTTCACTACACGGTTACCTACAAAAAAGGGGCATCGAACATCGCCGATGCATTAACCCGACCCACAGCCCAAGTTCACGCCATACTACTCGCACAGACCAGCCCACTGTTAACAGGCCTATTTACCCACGGTTACCAAACTGATCCATTTTTTACAAGCGGAAACTCGCAGCAGTTTGCAGCAGCAAGAGGAGTCTATTACGTAAAAGCCGGCACCGATCGCATCTGGGTACCGGGCTACACACTTCTACGGGAATTACTGTTGCAGGAGGCACACGACGGAGTTACCTCAGGGCATTTCGGAGTAGAGAAAACACGGCAGCAGCTGCAGCGGTACTACTACTGGCCCGAAATATTGACCGACGTGCAACGACACGTGGCATCGTGTCCCACCTGCCAGGTCATGAAATCATCACGGAAGCGGCCGGCAGGACAGTTGCAGCCGATACCACCCCCAGAGCGTGCTTGGCAGCAGGTGACGATGGACTTTGTCACGGGGTTACCGGCGGGTGCAAGTGGGAACGACGCGATCTTGGTCGTCGTCGATCGACTGACGAAAATGGCACATTTCGCAACATGCAAAAAATCAATCACAGCCGAAGAAACGGCCCGCCTCTTCATCGCAACCGTTGTTCGATTACACGGGATACCAGCGGCGATAATCAGCGACCGAGATACGAAGTTTACCAGCAATTTCTGGCGGAACCTGTGGCAGCAGTTTGGCACGAGGCTGCAGTTCAGTTCTTCGTACCACCCCGAAACCGACGGACAGACAGAACGGACAAACCAAACCATGGAACAGTTAATCCGGGCCACGTGCGACGACCCCACCACCTGGGAACAGCAACTTCCACTAATCGAATTCGCGTACAACAACTCGCCATCCGCCACGACCCAACAGTCGCCATTTTACCTAAACTACGGACAAGACCCTACAGTACCCATGACCCCGAATCCCGACAACCCGGTACCACGAGCGCAACAGTTCGCAGAAATTTTACAGGAAGCTCGGACCAGGGCAGCAAACGCAATTAAAAAAGCGAATGTTATCGCTAAACGCAACGCCGACCGCCACCGCCGACCGCCACCGCCGACCCGTCACTTACCAGCCCGACGACTTAATTTTACTCGACACTCAAAATCTCCGCCTGCCCATAACGCCAAAACTCCGCCCCCGATATTTTGGGCCATTTCGAATCAGCCACATGGTCACACCAGTCACCGCCCACCTCCTCCTCCCCGCTGACTGGTACGTCAGCCCCTCCTTCCACGTCAGCCTACTTCGCCCCTACATCCCATCCACCAGCCAACTGGCCCGACAGTGCCCAGCCAGCATGACCCGACCACCGACCGAGCCAGTCATCACGCCCGAAAAGATTCTGAGCCACCGAGTTCGTGACCCGCGAGGAGCCCGAAGGGTCGAATTTTTAATACGCTGGAGAGACCGCACACCCACCGAAGATAACTGGGTTCCACTGGACAAGATGGAAAACCACCCCGTCCTCAACGACTACTTACGCAGCAGAAATTTCCGGGACATACACGCGCTCTCGCAAAGGAGGCCTCCTTGAGGGAGGGGGTAGTGTAAGGAAAATTCCTTTTTCTTACTTCGCGTCCCTGCTCAGCGCGTACAACACTGACAACACCCCACAATATCCCGTTACCACTCGCGACATTCGCCCCGACACCGTTCCCGCCACTGTTCACGATGCGACCCAACCACACGGTTCGGTTGGTAACCCGCGCCCCGGACCTCCGCCTCGACAGTCCCCCAAACCTCGGCATTAGGCCCGTCGCGCACCCCAATTTTCCCACGTTACCGTTACCACCATAGTTTCGCTATATATTCTTCGCTCATTCCTTCGCTCATTGTATCTTGTCTCGATAGTGCAATCCTCGTTCGCTCACTCAAGTGCACTCGTAACAAAAGGTTACATAATCAATCTATGATTCTATAAACAAAAAACGCATCTGGGAGGAAGGAAATACAGAAATGCACTGGGCAATGATGTCATGTCACCTGCACTGCACTGCACCGAAGGAAATGTCGACTGATTGAAGGCATGCCGTGTGACATGCGCATATACAAGGTCCCTGAAACGGCACTAGATACCGGTACCATTCCTCAACAGCTGGAACACCAATACTAGCCTCCTTCCAAACCGGTCCCTGGAAGGATTTCTCAGCCTCTCTCACACAGACACCTGTCCTCCTGCCAGTCACTGCGGAAAGGGCCCTCCCTCCTGTCCTCTTTCGCCCTTCCCCTCCTCTTCCACCCCCCACTCTCCCCTTGGCCTCCATCTGGGGCTGACCCACTCTCCCCTTGGCCTCCATCCGGGGCTGACTCACTCTCCCCCGTCCAAACTCCTCACTGCGCCGTCATGCCTGCTTGCTGGGCGGCGGGGCGTCAGCGCTGTCATCATCAAGCGTGGGGTCGGTGGAAAAGCGCACGGTCTGCAGCAGCCGCTCCCGCAGCAGCTCCAGGTTCTGCTGCCTCAACTCCTCCTCCATCGCCGTCTGGTCGTATTTCTGTGGCCCGTGCAGGCGCCGGGGGGAGGGAGAAGAGGAGGGGAGGATGGGGGGAGGGGAGGGGAGGAGGGGAATTATGGGATTGGGGAGAGACGGAGCATGGGGAACAGAGGTGGAGATGCAAAAAAAGAGGAACGGGAGAAGGAGAGGGAAAAGGAGAGAAAGAGAAGAGAGGGAAAAAGGGGGTAAGACTGAGGGAAGTAAGAGGGAGAGAGGGCGAGGGAGAGGGAGAACAAATAGAGTTAGAGAAGAGGATTAATGACAATTGCGGGTGAGGTTTGCTGAAAGAAGAAGAATGATCAGGCGAAGAGAGTGAGGATTTTGCGAATAACGTGTGTCAGAGCGGTAACGAGACCTCAATAGGGAGTGGAGGGGAAAGGAGGGGCGGGGAGGAGGGGAGCGGCGGGTACCAGAGCCCATTTGTTGAAGAGTTGGAGGCGGATCTCCATGACTCTCTCCGCCACGTTGCGGTGCTCCTGAGAGGCGCAGGCGCAGGGGGAAAGGGCGCAGGGGGAAAGGGCGCAAGGGGGCAAGGGCGCAAGGGGGAAAGGGCGCAAGGGGGAAAGGGCGCAAGGGGGAAAGGGCGCAAGGGGGAGGAGGACAAAAGGCAGGGGCGTGGGGGAGGGGTTATGTTAGGAGGCGAGGGAGGAGGAGAGAGGCGGAAAAGGAGGGGATGGAGACGGTGAGTAGAGGAGAAGAATGGAGGAAGGTGGACTTTGACGTGTGGAATATTATAGGGGAGGAGAAGGGAAGGGGAGGAGAAGGGAAGGGGAGGAGAAGGGAAGGGGAGGAGAAGGGAAGGGGAGGAGAAGGGAAGGGGAGGAGAAGGGAAGGGGAGGAGAAGGGAAGTGAAGGGAGAAGGGAAGGGAAGGGAGAACGTGCGGGATGGGAGAGAGGGGAGCGGGAGGGGCCTAGAGAAAATGATGGATGCCAAGGCCGCGTGGCTTTAACATGCAGCTGCAGGGGCAACCACTACATGCCAAGTGTAATTGACTTGTTCTACGTGCGCATGCTCTGCATACGCGAATACAATACAGCCCACAGCAGCACTTCCCCGCGCACGCGCGCGCACCCAATGGCGCGCGCGCAGCCCTTTGCGCAGACACACGCATCCCAGGGCACAGGCGCACCACCGGCGCAGGCGCACCCGCGGGCGCAGGCGTTCTAGTGGAGTGAGCTGCGAATTTTCCGCAGCCGCTGCGGCGTTCGCGAGTAAGAAACAGCCGACGCGCGGTCGAAAAGAGCGAGTGCGGATATAGAGCCGATTCGGAAGCCTCAACGCGATACGGAACTCCTGCTTTGCAATTGAAAGCGCACGGCACATGCACCGTGCACGAGATGTAGCTTAGTACGTAGTTACTACCGTCGCTGATTTACTCCTTCGTTATAACCAGCCCCGTTGTAAGCACCTCCAGCATGCGCACCTGCACGAGGTTTCTGAGGAAGAGCTTGGAGTCGCGGCGCGTGTTGGCCTCCACGTGGCGTCGCAGCCATTCCACCTCCTCGCGATCCTCCTCGTCGTCCGCCGTCGCTCCCGTTCGCAGGATGTGTCGCACGGCCTTGAACGTGAAGAAGTCTACCAGTCGCTGCGACGGACACGAGGGAACGAGGGACGGAGGAACACGGGGGAGTGTGAATGGAGGGAGGGTAAGAGGATGAGCGGGAGTAAGATATACGAGAGAGGAAGGGCATACGAGAGATGCGGTTGGGAAGCGAGGGAGTGGCATACGAGAGAGGGGGAGGGAGAAAGGCTTCGAGAGGAAGGGCAGGGCAGGGTGGGGTGAGGGGAAGGGCGCTGAATCCCCTCGGGTGAGTGGGTGTTTGTATGGGAGGTACAGAGAGGGGCACACGTTGCTCATTCCCGTCCGCTTTAACGACCATGTTTCTTCGCTTCCTCTCGTCCTCCTTCCCCATCCACCCTCGCCTTCCCGTATCCCCACGCTAACATCCTACTCACGAATTGCTTCCCCCAATTCTCAGCTCCTTCGCGCTTCATAATCCAAAACTGTTCTCGCCGCTGCTGGCCGACAGCCTGAAAAAACGGGCCGGCATTCGACTAGCACGCCCGTCCTTCTCTCCCGCGTTACGTCGGGATGGCGATGCAAAAAAGGAGAGGCGACTACAAAGCAAGAACGAACTTACGCTCTCCACGTCACCAAAGCTCTCCTCATACTGCCCTCCGACGTCGCCTGCGACGATCCGCAACGGCGACCAGCCTCTGCGACCCCGTGCGACGATTGTCGCGCGACAGCCTCGCACGGATCGGCTCCACTGGCTGTCGCCGAGGCACCAGCTGGAGTCGCGTAATCGTAACCGGATTCGGTAGCTCGACAATTGCTGCGATTGCGACGAATCGATAGCAGCAGTAGCGGCACCCAGGGCAGTAAGCGATGATGCAGCCTGCAGGCGCGCGGACATGGCAGGCGACGCTATACGATGCGACTACTTACGATGCGATGCGATTGAAAAAGCTCACGCTGTGGCAGTAAGGTGACGACGGAGTAGCGATGGAGGGGAAACAGTCTTGGGAAGAATACGAACAGGACAATGAGTGTATACTGTTTACTGCTAGTTCTCGCTCCCTATTTGACAGTGTGCACTGCACCGTGATAACAATGGTGACAGTGCTGGCGAGCGAGACGCCGTTGGAAATGCGACGCGGTTATCAGAGTATTGTGCGCTGCGAGGCAGTTCCTAATAATAACACCTGGGAAGGAGGGCAGAACACAGCATAAGGTGTTTTGTGTGCGCGGGGGACAGTGAATCGTCACATTCAGGGAGATTCAGTGATTTGGGAAGGAAACGTGCACTTTTGAGGATGCACTTTCCACTACTAACGAGTATAGAACCTAACTCGAGGTCTGTCAGGACTTGGGCGACGTACATGCACTTTGCGCGTCCGGATCGTCGCGCTGGCATCGCAATGTCATCTTACTGGAGCAATGACGTGGTACAGGTGGCGCAGATGTATGGGTAAGTGGATCCTCGTCAGCAGCAGTTCACCAAACAGAGCAGCCTTTCTGGGCCACGTGATCTCACCTTGCCTTTAGACCACGAAGCTCACGGAAGAGGGGGAATCGAGGAGAGCAGCATCTAATTCGCCTGCCAATCATCTGCTTCGATCTCCCTAGCCCGAAACATTCGCCAGATGCAGACAGTAGAAGCTTCTTCGGTTGACGCCCCATAAGGAATACAGGTCGGAATACAGGCCTATTGCATTTTACCTACCACGCATGGCATTGATAACATGAAGCCTCTGAATATAATGATTCATCACACAAAATTTACTACTGATTCAGAATGAGTTATCATTGCACCACACACCATCTGAGCACTAACTGCATCTATTGTAGCATATAACTGTAAGTTGCATCTGATAATTAAGAGTAATACAAAGCACAAGCATAACTAGTTTGCAACAAAAAAAAAACAAAGTAAGCTAAAAAAGAAATGTAAAACCGGCCCTGTAGCAACGGAATATCTCTCTCGCAGCCCAAGCCCAATCTCGTCCGCTAAACACGCCACCACCCGCCTGGCTTCCAGCACCACCATCCAGCCTATTGCCCTGTACGCTGTGCCACTCTCAAAACCAGCTGCCTCGCCTGCCACCCGCACTGCCACTGCCGCTGCACTGAAATCAGCAGCAGAAGTTCCAGCAGTGGCAGCACCTCTACCTGGAGCACACCAGTAGCAGCACCCACAGAACAAGAATCGCTGCCATTGCCCCCATGCCATGGAAGGGGTCAGCCCCATTCCCTTCCATTCAACCACCCATGGGGTTTCAGCCCCATTCACTTCCGTTCCCTTTTTCTCTCACCCCCAAAGGGATTCAGCCCCCTTTCGTCTCACTCATCCACCCAAAAGGATATAGCCCCCTTCCCTCTCACTCACACACACGAGGGGTTTCAGCCCCCTTACCTTTCATCCACCCACCCAGCCCATGCCCTCCTTCACCTGCCAGCATTTAGGAGCAGCTGAGAGCCCACTCTCTCAAGGAAACAACACCCACAGAGGCTGTGCCTTGTGGGGCGAGGCGAGGTGTGGCAGTGGAAAGGCGCTTCCAGCCCATCCTAAGTCACACTTGCCCGATCTTACCTGCCTCTACCGAACCCACTCTGCATGATCCCACCTTTCCACACCCAACCAGCTCTACTCATCGCACCCTAACCTTCCCAAACCACTTTGCCTCATCCCAACTAACCCTACCGAACGCACTGTGCCCCATCCCACCATACCCTACCAAACCCAACCAGCACTGACTCATCTCACCCAAGTTTTCCCAACCCACCAACCATCACCCACCACCCACCACCCACCACCCACCACCCACCACCAATCCAGTACCCACCCACCACCTACCAGCTAACCCACCACCGACCCACACACCTACACGCCTCCCATCGCCCACCCACCAGCGTCACATTGATCCACCTACCCATCTACCGGCACCTATTCACCCACCCTTCCACTCCATCCCATCAACCACCCACCATTTACCCAACTAACTACCCACCCACCCACTGACCCAGCACCACCAACCACCTTACCACCCTACCCACCATACCCGCCTCATCCCACCCAGCCCTATCCAACCCACTCTGTCTCATCCCACGCACCCCTACCCTACCCACCCACTCTCTCACCCACCCAAGGGGATTCAACCCCCTTCCCCTCGCTCACCCACCCAAGGGGATTCAACCCCCTTCCCCTCGCTCACCCACCCAAGGGGTTTCAGGCCCCTATCTCTCCCACTCACCCACCCAGCCCATCTCACCTTCACCTACCAGCAGTAGGAGCAGCAGAAAGCCCACTTTCTTAAGGAAACAGCACCCCCAGAGGCGGTGCCTTGCGGGGCGAAGTGTGGTAGTGGAAAATTGCTTCCAGCCCAAGACTCAAATCCCACCCCTGACGTAGCCAGAGCTGACGCGAACCAGAGCCGCCGGCCGGTCGGCTCTGACGGTGTCCATTAGGCCTTGAACGTCAGATCGGTTACTTGAGCACCGAGTGCCGTGCCGCACAGATTCCACCCACCACACCCCACCAACAAGACACAACCCCAGGAGATGATGTCCCTAAGGCAGTGAACTCCCCACTTGCTCCCATGCTCCCCACCCACCCACCCCACACTTCACCCCCATGCCTGCTCAACTGTACCTACCACAGCCGTGCAGAGCGCCATGATGCTGAGGCTGCTGGGAAGTGGAGAGAGAAGGGGGGATTAGGGGAGGGAGAGACTCCTCTGTGGTCCATGCAGGGTGCTGCTGGGAGGGAAGGGAGAAGGGAGAGAGGAGGAGGTGAGTGAGGGGGTGGACTTCACTCTCCCGCCCTTGCTCCAGTGCTCCAGTGCTCCCACCTTCAGCCTGCAGGAGAGACGAGGGGGAAGAGAGAGAGGAGGGGATCAGCTTACCATACCTCACCTCTACCATACCATACCTGGTACCATACCTCACCTGGTACCATACCTCACCCGCAGCTACATCTAGCCTAGCCTAGACCCCTTCTCCCACTGCTGCTACTGCTGCTTCCGCTTCTGCTGCTGAAACTGCTGCTCCCGGTCTGCTACTCTGCTTCCCCTGATACTGCCGCTGCCCCTCCCCTCCCCTCCGCTGCTGCCCTGCTGCTGCCCCCGTGCTGCCCTGCTTCAGCCTTCAATGTACTGGGAGGGAGGGAGCAAGGCAGGGGTAGGCAGGGAATCAAGGGACAGCAGTGAGAATGGGGAGAAGAGTAGGCAGAAGCTACAAGGAAGTAAGGGAGCAGAAACGGGAAGTAAGCATAGGGAGAAGACCAAGCAGCAGCATGAGTGCACGAGGGAAAAGAGGCTCACCTTGTTCCAGACGACCCCATCCCGATAGTCTCCCATCCCATCCCAGCCGAGTGGAGTGCTGCCCCCCTCCCCTCCCACCACTGCCACTCCCGTGTGAGCGACCTGCTGGGACGGGAGGGGGCGGGTTGGGACAGAGAGAGGAGGGAGGAGGGGGGAAAGAAAACGGGGAAGTGAAGGGGGGGCAGAGGAGTGGGGAGAGCAGTGAGGAAAGAAGCCAAGACAAGTGAAAGTGAAGAGTGCAGCAAGCGCAAGCATGATGCGTGCATGAATGGACTGCTGCAGTGGCACACCCAAGATACCTCATACCAGCTGAACCAAACTAAAACAAATACCTGAGTCTGTACCAAGAAAAAATTACCTACTACCTTGGGGGAGGGAGGTCTAATGGGTGTGACAAAGAGCAGCAAAAAAGGGAGTGCAATGCATGGTGCAAGCATGACAAGAAAAGCAACACAGTGCGAGGGTTGGGAGAAGAGAGGATGGGCGGGGTACTTAGCTGTAGGTGGGTTGGGTGGAGAGCTGCTGCTGCCTGTGCACTCCATGTCCCCCGCCACTGCCACTCCCGTGCGAGCGACCTGCTGGGACGAGAGGGGGCAGATCGGGGCAGAGGGAGGAAGGGAGGAAGGGGGGGAGAGAATGGGGAAGTGAAAGGGGAGCAGAGGAGCGGGGAAGAACACGAAGCTGTCGACGAGGACATCGCAGCTAACGGAGAGAGCCGATTCTTCTGATAGAGGCGACGTTTCTGCTAACTAACGAGATCGCTGCTGACGATGGAGCTCGTTTCTAGCGTCGAAGCTCGTTCGTGATGGCTGGAATCGGCTCCACAAACTTCGTTGATGCCGTATGGACGTACCGCAGAGGTGGATGTAAAATCGCCGGGAAATCTACTGTGATCGTTAGGAATGCTGTTCAGCATAATGCGAGGAGAGCGGAGGTGGAGCGGCGAAAATGGAATGAGGGAGAAGGGTGGTGGATAAAGAGAATGGGAGGAAATGTGGTGTTGCCGTGGCTGCGTGGGTTGGGTTGAGATTGTGGGTATGGTTGAGTAATTTGATGGTTGAGCTCGGTTGAAACGTGTTGAAAGGGGTTTCTCGTTTGGTCAGTGTGTCTGGTTCTGCAGGAGGGTTCAGTTCATAACAGCCCGGATCCAACGAATCTCGAGGTTCTCTTGGCGGAGAAGGAATGCCCACTGACACGATTGGCAGACGCACTTCACCGTAAAAGCGCGCCAAATTCGCCGAAGAGGCAGAAAAGCGGTTTTGTGGAAGAGCATGACGAACCATTTTGGTGAGGTGAGTTGAGTTCGCGAAACGTTACTGCGTCGCATAGTGGGGATAATAGCAGCACTCCGGGTCATCGTAATGTTTCGCAATAGTCGTGAGTGTCGCCAGCCCAGTCGGGGCCAACGGTTGGGCTTGGAAATCCGCGGGCTGGCGGAAGCGCTCCACCAAATTCGCTGACACATCTCTAAAAGATCCGCCAAATCTGATGGATTTTGCGGAGCCCTTTCCAGATTCTGGTTGTGAAGCCAACGGATAGGCTGCGGGATGCGCAGTTATGGGGAATCTGCGGGAACTTCGCGCCAAAGCCCAAG